CGCTGATGCCAGCCCCAAAGTCGGGGAGTTCCCGGCCTCAATCGAAAATTGGGTGCTGGACGGCTTAGCCGCCGGCACTTCCTGTTTGGCTTCCGCTGTTTTCTTTAACTTGTCTTTTCCGTCTTTATTATGTTCAACAAGCTTCGCGGACTCCTTCGAGGCATCGTCTCTGTGCAATGGATGAATCTGCATGATGGCCGCGAACCGAACCGAGAACCGAGAACCGGGTCTGGAACCGAACCGGCCGAACAGAACCGGCCGGCCAAACCGCTTTGACCGTCGGGTGGGTGTAAGTGCGGTAAGAGCGTTGTATATCCGATGAAATCGTTTCAACGAAGATGTATGTAGGTTCCTGCTAGTTGACCTCACATATTCAACATACATAAAATATCGAACTTAGCATTCATCTGCTTGACGTTTTGTTAGATAAGTATATTCAACAACATGCCATACATACTACTCACAGAACCATCCATCTTATTAACTGAGCTATCGGGTACCACTGCCAAGATATGACGATACATACACCTCAACATATCAAACTTAGTAGCTAAGTCAGCTAAGTCGATGTGGGCTGTCCGATTCGGTTAACCTGAACTTTGCGAAACTTTCCATGTTTGTCATGTTTGTTCTTGATATTGCTATGTTCCGAAAACAAAAACACAACAACAACGTTCTAACAACTACAACGCGGCAGTTTTTCAGGACAAGGCGCCGCAGGTCGACGCGCCGAGCCGCCCTCAGGACGCCTGCGGGGCGCGGGGGGGGGGGGGGGAGAGGGAGAGAGGGGGGGGGTCAACTATTCTTCAAACTGCCTCCCCTCGGCGGCTATCACCGCCCCCCCTCTCCTCTCCTCGTTGTCGGCGGCCAGCCCGCCCCCACTCCCTCCTGCCGCCTTCCCTCCCCGAGCCCGCCTTCCTTCTTCGGCGGCATATCCGCCCCTCCCCCCTGCGCCTCTCTATCGAAGGGCGGCATATCCGCCAGCGGCATATCCGCTCTCGCATGCGCGCGTTTTTTCCTTTTCACGTGATGGCGAGCACATAGCCATCGTCCTGTAGTCGCCGATGAGCCGCCCAGGCTGGCGGGATCAGCTCGGCGGGCATCACGGCGACGTCGCCGCGCGGCCGCCACAGGGACGCGCCTGGGCATGGCGCGCGCACCCATTCCAGGGTCTCCACCAGCAGGTAGCTGGCGGCGCCAGCCTGCGCGCAGCAATGCACGATGCACGCCTCGCCGTCGCCCAGGAGAAAATCCTGAGGGCAGCAGCGCCTCGATTTTTGGGGGGCACGCGCATGTGCACCCCTAAATACCAAGGTTGGTTGCGCCGTCTGTCCTGGCTGCCGTGCATCTGGCCGTCGATCGACGCCTCTCTGCTGGTCCACGTTTCAGCCCTGCGGAGGGGTCCTCCTCCTCCTCCTCCTCCTCCTCCTCCTCCTCCTGGCGGCAAGCCGCCTTGGCGGCAAACCGCCTTCCCCTCTCCCAGCCCATCTTCCTCCACAAAAGGGCATGCAAGGTTGCGCCCCGAGTGCCCGAACGCACTGTCCAGCTCTGGCGTGCGCCACGCTTTGGCGCGGGAGCGCGGCGCCTCCTTCGCTTCCTCCAGGAAGCAGGCGAGCGTCGCCGTCAAGGCCGACAGCTCGAAATTCGCAGGGTTGTCGATCTCCTGCGACCTGGGCCGAAGCAGGTTGCGCTTCCGCTCGAGCACGAAGGCGTCCAACCAGATGCCGTCCTCCGCAGGCTGGTCGGGGACGTGCCACAAATAATGGTGCTTCGGCTTGATCAGGGCTGGCCCGTGCGCGGCTTTGTGCAGCGCCGAGGAAATCGAAACGGCCTTGTTCCAGACAGCTATCAAACTCGGCACGGCGCCGATCCTCAGGACGTAGCCGAACCGCCTGCCACCTAAGCGCTCGAGGATGCGCGCGGGCCGACGCGGTGCATCCTCGAACGCGCAGGCCAGCGTTTGCGTTTCAGCTGCGGCCGCATGTCCTTTTGCCCTGCATGTACAATTCGAGCAACTTCGCCATCGCCTCGAACGACCGCGCCGCAGCGTTCGCCATGCCGCTGGGACGCAGCTCTGTGTGCACCCAGTGACACGGCCAAGCAATCCGACGCCGTGCCCACGAAGTGCGACGCCTTGCAGGTCGCTTTCTTCCGAGCCACGCTGAACAGAAACGCTGGCGGTTTCCTGCCGCGTCTGCCAGTCCGCCACGCCGAGCAGCGATCCCGCCACGTTCCCCACGCGTCGGGGATGACATCCCTCACCGCCTTGAGGAGCGCAAAGATTTCGACCTGCAAGGTCCCGCCGCTGGCCAGCATGGTAAGCATGGGGTCCCTCACGTATGTGCTCGGCGGCGCCACCGTCCGCAACGCCTGGCACGCCACCAGAGAACGGTCATCCAGAGCGATGCCCATTGCCGTCTCCTTCGGGGGCCGGAACATCAGAAGGGAAGGGGGGGGGGGGCATCAGAAGGGGATCGATGGAAATATTTTCCCCCCTGGCTCCAGTCTCTCGATGTTCGCTCTGGTTGTCGTGTCCCGCAGCGACGCCAAATCATCGCATTGCTGCAAAAACTCGTCTGACGACAGCGGGTCAAAGCGCGACGGGTCAGCGCGCCAGAGAGGCACGAGGTAATCATCGTCGTCGTAGTCTGCAAGACATTCCGCCTGATCCAGCACAACGTTCTTGCATTGCAAGCACGGTCTCAGACCTGCAGCGCCCTTGGTGCAGAATGTCTCTTTTCCAGCCGCCTCGTCTGCAATCAAGCGGTGGAACTTGGCGAAAAAGTGCACGCCGCCGATTGGCGCACCGTGCTCCGACAGACTCTCTGGCCCCAGGAACAGCGCGCGAAGCAATGCCCGCGCCGCGGCCGAGCCGCCGATGCTCTTCTTCACGACGACGCGCAAGGTGCCGATCGGCAGCCACGCAACCTCCTTCTGCAAGAAGGATCCGAACTCGAGGAAACTCGCATACACCGCGAGCTGATTCCGACGATTATCTATCTTCAAGGCGTTGCCCACGCCAATGTCGTCGCAGTACAGCAAAAGCCTCCACGGCCGATCGCGCGACACAGGGAAACGGCGCATCGCTTCCAAAACATTGAACTCCAGAGAGGGCAGTCCGACAGAGCCTCGGCATCAGCCGATGCGGCAGCGCCAAGCTCCATCGGAAAGGCGTGCCGATCTTGGGCTGCAGCCGCACTGCGCTGATGAGATCGGCCACGGATGCCGTCTGCGATCGCTGCATGGCCCGAGCGCTCACGTCTATAGCATCGCCCGCGTCGTCGCCACGGCCAAGCGCAGTCGCGATTCGCTTGAGCAAAGCCGCGGACACGCCGCGCAGGGCCAGACATTGTTGCAGTCGAGCCCGCTGCTCCAACTGCCTGTCCACCTGCAGGGCGCGTTTCCCCATTGCGCCGACGCCCGCGCGAGGAGGGGCGGGGGCGGGGGGCAGCGCGAGGCCCAATGCGGTTGAGAAAAACGAATTGCAGCCAGAGAGACGGAAGTGGAGGCGGGAATGGTTCGCGGGGCTGAGTAGCCGCCGAGGGCATGGCGGCGTAGCCGCCTGAAGGGTCGGGAGGGGCGGAGTAGCCGCCGAAGAGCGCGGGGGCGGGGGGGCATGGGGGGGATGGGGGAGGGGGGAGGGGGGTGGGTGGGTGAGATTGCGGAGGCGCGAAGTGAGCGTAGCAACGGAGCTTGCAAGGGAGATTTCTTTTTCTCGCACGCAGCCGTTTAGAGCCAAGCTCGGGTTTCAAGCTCGGAGACGGGCGCGGCTGGCGGCTCTTAGTGCGGGTGCGCGTGCTGCCTCCAAGTCCTCATCCCCCTCCTCCTCCTCTTCATCCTCCCCCCTCTTCCTCCTCATCCTCCTCTATCGGCCCAGCTCCGATCGCCGCTCAACTCTCCTGGTGCGGCTGGCGGCAGAAGTACCGAATACTGCCGGGGATGTCATTCACCGTCTTCTTCGACATGTCAAGCATCGTCTCGCCCTTCTCCTCGGTGCGGCGCGCCTCCTCCATCATCTGCCGCGCCTGGTCGATGAGCATCTGGCCCTTGGCTCCAACGGCGCGCGCCTGGCGGCAACGATTGCGCCACTCGATGAACCGCACCGCCATGATCGCCCAGCTCCAAGCACTGCCATCCGTCGCGATGAGCTCGAAGTCATCGACGTCGCACTTGCCCGCGATGCTCGCCATAGCGGCGCAAGACCTCGAAGGGGGCACGACCTCGAGCGGCTCTCCTTGAGCCACAAAGACTACGGATGAGGGGTGGGACGGTGGCAGGTCATGTCATTGGGCAACGCGAGAGAACGGTGCGAACGCAATGAGCAGCAAAACGTGCAGGTGGCCATCTTAACCCCATGATATCCGAAGCAAGAACGTTCACTCGCGAATATCCAGGTCGTCGGCGGGGGCCGATTGCTCTGGGCTGCCCCTGACACTCTGGATCAAATTATGTGAGGCCGATGGCTCCTTAATCACGCGGCGAGACATCAGGTGGCCATCTGCTCGTCGTCAGGAGCTGCTTCGCCTCTGCTTCGTCTCCGACCGCCAACCGATGGGATTCCCAACGGTGTCGCTGGCCTTCGCGGGCCACAGCTCGCGCGGCAGGATCTCGAGCGGAACGCGCTCGAGCAGGAGGGAGCTCTGCAAGCGTTTCGCCTCGCCAAGCGAGGCATCGGAGCGCGATGAGCAGCAAGGGCGGCATCTCCGCCAAATGAAGGCAAGGCGGCATGTCCGCCAAGGGCTTGCGAGAGTGGAAAGGCGGCACCCCCGCCAAACGAAGGGCTGCAGTGGTAACGAGTGGGATGGCGAAGACAACGAAAACATTTTTTTTTTCACCAACAATAGCAATTGTACGAAATCACACACCTCGTCATGAGCGGCCCAACTGCCGCCCCTGCTCACGAGCGGCCCAGCGGCCGCGGCTTATTCGGGTCCTACTCCACCTGCTAGGGCACCTTTTTCAGGCCGTACTTCATGAGGTACTGGGCCACCATGGGGCGCTCAGGTGCTGTGCTTCTGGGCCTCCTTGAGCATCCCCGCGATGGCCTTCGCCGCCGAGCTCGCATCCTTCTGGATGCTGATGGCCTCGTCCTGCGTGATCGTCAAGGCCGCGCCGCTGTGCGCGCGCTTCTGCGCCACCGCCTTCATGACTGCCACAGACTTCCTCGCCGCCTTCGCGTTCTTCACATCCCATGACGGCACCTTGTCCGCCTTCTCATGCTCGAGGTACCCGTCCAGCTCTGCCTCGAGCCTCGTTGCGGCGCCGATCCACTTCAGCGCCAGGTTCTTCTCCTGCGTCTCCTTCTTGGCCTGCTCGGCCTTTTCCTTCGCCCCCTGCCGCCCCCGCTCCTTCTCAGCGCCCTTATCCCTGCGGAGCCTTCGGGGTTGTCCGAAAATGACAACACTTCGAGCCGAGCGAAATCAATAACCCGATCCGAACCTGAAGAGTTGAACGGAAACCGAAAACGAATGCGAAGCCCAGGCGACACCCCTGCGTTGAAGCCCCAAACGGCCTGCTCTTGCTCTTGTCCTTGCTCCTGCCGCGGCTCTTGCTCCTGCCCTTGCGGCGGCTCTTGCTCCTGTCGCGGTCGCCACGCGAGCGGCTCCTGCTGCGGTTGGTGTCGCGACGTCTGTCGCGGCGTCTGCTCCTGCTGTCGCGCCTGCCCCTGCTGTCGCGCTTGCTCCTGCTGCGCCTCCTCCTCCTCCTGCGGCTGTCAGACCTGCGCCTGCGGCGCCGCCTGGATCTGGACATGTCGCTCTCGTCGCTTCTGTCGCCCTTGTCGCCGCCGTGCTCTGCGACGCCCGTCGAGGCCGCTGCCCGCGGGCCGCTCTGCTTCGCCTGCGTCCTCTTGCGCACTGCGGCCTCCGCTGTCTCGCTCCAGGCCGCCTCCAATCGCGGCCTGTGCGTCCACTCCCCGAGATCAGGGTTCCACCTCTTATCCTGCACATTATCTTCGATCTTTTTCGCGTCGAAGCCGTCGTGCGCCCACTTCCTCAGCGGAAAGTACTTGCCACCTTTGCGGACGCGCTCCTCCTCCATCCGTTGGACACTGCTTGAGCTGACCACGAAGGCTTCAATGCGATCGAGGTTCGACAGCCCAGGATCTTCTGCCAGATCCTTGTGGAACTGCTGATTGAACTCACTCTTCATTTTAGCGAAACACTTTGGCGGCCACTGTCCGAACCTCCGAGAAAGGCGCACCCCGTTCGTGTTGCGCGCGTCGCACTGGTAAGTCGACTGACCCTTCGCTCTGATCCTGTAGTTGCACTCCTTTGCCGTGCGACAGCAGCGGTTGCAACGCACGATGCGATCCCCGATGCCATGCACATCCGCGAACTCCCCTACCTGGGGAGCGCCTGCTGGCGGATCGCCCTGAGCTGCCCCCCCCCCCCCCCTCCGCCTGCGGCGCTGCCGCCTCGGGCGAGCGCTCTTCATTCATATATGCAGCATCGGGCGAGTGCCTCTCAACCTTGGCTACCACGCCCTGCGGTGGAGCCTCTTCCTCCTCAAGCTCACGCTTGGCACTCTCAAGCTCATCCTGTTCGACGCCGAGCTCGGAACCAATCTCGTCGCCGCGCTCCTCGGAGCCCGATGCCGCCTCTGACGCTGCGTCGTCCGGCTCTGGTGGCAAAGCCGCTGCGCCCTGAGGAGGCAGTTCCTCGGCGGGAGCTGCGGCTGACGCAGCTTTGCGAGCCGTCCTCTTCAACGCTGCGGGGTGTTTGCCTTTGCCCTTGCCTCTGCTTTTCCCGCGCGCCTCCGGCGGCCCTCCATCGGTCAATGCGAGCGGCGGCGCAAGCTGTCCAGTCAGTGCCATCTGCGTCCCCGATGGCTTAGCTTTCCCACGGGGCTTCGCTGCGGGCGCCTTGATCATCACTCCCTTGTTTTTCGGCCTGGCGGCTCCGAACATCAGTGCCAGAGAATGCTGCTGGTGATCTTCAGCGGGCGGCACCCCCAACATGGCGGCGCGGCCGCCTTGGCGCGCGAGAAGCCGCGCGTCGCGCGCGGCCGCGTGCTGTCGAGAGAACTGCTGCCAAGATGAGATGGGCGCGAAGCGATGACGAAGAAGACGCGCGGTAAGTGAGGCGGGGTAGCCGCCAGCGGACTAGCCGCTTCAAAGGTGGAGGGAGGGGCGGAGGGAGGTATGCAGGGGGCGGCATATCCGCCAGCGGACTCGCCGCTTGAGAGGGCGCAGGGGTGCGGCGAGGGAGGCGGATTGGCCGCCAGCGGACTAGCCGCTCGAAGCGTGGCGGACGCACGAGGTGATACGGATACTGAAATGAATTGCGCGCAACATGACAACCACACAAAATTGACATCATGTTATCATATGTTATCATATGTTATCAGGCGTGTTACCAGGCGCGTGGTAACATCTGATGACATATGTATTCATCCAACGTTTTTTTTTTTTTTTTTTTTTTTTTTTTTTTTTGCCAGTGCATGGCGGCGGCGTAGCGGCACGTCCGCCGAGTTAGTTAAGCGGAGCAGCAGGGGCGGAGCGGCGCCCTGCGCTACCGACCGCGGACGGCGCCGCGTGCTTCAAACCGCTGCCTGAGCGGCAGCGAAAAGACGGGCGAGCGCGGAAGCGAGGCGCGCTGCCTGAGCGGCAGCGAAGAGACGGGCGAGCGCGCGCGAACGGGGCGCGCTGCCTGAGCGTCATCATATGCAAGGCGATGGGTGGGGGGGGGGGGGCGGACATGGCGATGCAGCACATCCAAAACATAGCCGCACTCATTCTTATGCGGATGCAGTTTTCTCCATCCAACCCTTTTGCCAAATCCCATCCACCCGCCCACCTGTCTTATCCGCCAAAGTTCCCTCGCCTTCCTCCCGCTCCGTTCGTCCACTCGCCCCCATATCGCCTTGCATTGGGGGGCGGCTACTCGGCCGCCTGCACGGCCAAAACTCACCTCGGCGTGGCGGCCTTCACGAATTGAGTGCGGATGGAGTGTTTGGGGATGTCCTAATTTGTTCTGACACAGGGGTGTGGGTTGAAATTACGTTGGAGGAGTGGGAGGGGGGCGTGTAGGGCCGACGCGTCGCGCCGCCTGCGCGAATGAGGCTACTGATGCTGAGGCGACATCAGTGCTGCCAGCCGTGCACCTGCACCTACGAGGTCGCGTTGCGCACCAGCCTGCTCGCGAGCACGTCCTCGCACTCGGCGATGCATTGCTCCTCTTGGCGGAAAGCGTTCACCGCGCGCTCCGCTATCTGGGCGCACATCTGCGTCGCAGTGCGCGCGCGGCGCAACGAGTCGAGCACAGCCCGGCACTGGGTGCCGTTGAGCACCGCGATGCTATCGGGCGACATCTGGCTGGCCAGCGCCGTGGACATCCTCATGCCCGCCGTGGCCGCGGACGAAGCGGCGCCTGACGATCCGCTGCCCTCCGTGAACGCGTCCTTCAGCTGGTGCGAGCGCTCCACGCGGGATTGTGGAGGGATTGGCGCCAGCTCGACCTTCGGCGCCCCCCTGCGCCTTTTGGCGGAGCCCCAGTTGGCCTCCTCCTCCTCCCATTGGCGCCACTCCGCGAGGTCGACTTCCCAAGTGTCGGGAACGACTGCGAGAGCAGCTGCCTCCGCGCCTTCCTCGCTCAAGTCGTGGTGCGGCGACGCGCGAAGGTGGTTCACGAGCTTGCCCCTGGTCGCCTCCTCTGTCTCTCCCTGGAACCACTTGCCGCCCCTTTTGCAGACGCTGCTCTGTGGGCACTTGAAGCCGAACATGATGGACTTCTCGCCCTGCTGGCCTGCCATGGCAGCGACGCCGCCGAGCCGCGAGCCGCGGCTAGCACAGAAGCCGCTGGGCCGCGAGCCTGTGCGCGCCTAGATTCGGGCCGATACAGCGTCCCAACAACAAAAACATACCTGTGTAAGAGGCGCGATGGCATCGCAAATTTCGGGATGACAGCAGGCGGCGGCGGCGGCGGCGGTTTAGCCGCCAATGGAGGGCTCAGGGCGGCGTGGCCGCCAAGGGAGGCCTCAGGGCGGTTTAGCCGCCAATGGGTGGCTCAGGGAAGGACTGGTGTGTGTGTGTGTGTGCATGTGTGTGTGTGTGTGTGTGTGTGTGTGTGTGTGTGTGTGTGTGTGTGTGTGTGTGTGTGTGTGTGTGTGTGTGTGTGTGTGTGTGTGTTTTTTCTTCTTCCAACCGCCTAGAACAAACCCGATGCGCCGATGCTCTTATCTGAACGGCGGTTGTCCGCCAGGCGGGGAGAGGCGGCGCGTCCGCCAATGAGATAGATCGGCAACGAAGAGAGGGGAGGAGAGATGAGATGAGACGAGGCGGGGGGAGGCGGCGCGTCAGCTATCCGCGCTCGAATTACGGAAGCTATGCACCTCAGCCCGCCTGCAGGTCCACACGATCACCTTACAATGAGACATCTGGGCGGGCGGGCGGGCGCGGCTTCGCTGGCGGTGGTGCCATCTTGCTTGTCGGCTGCAGCCGACTCCTTGCCCTCGGCTGCGCCATGCTGGTCTTCCCTGCTGGCGGCTGCATGGTCTTCGGCGGCGGCGGCCCCATGGCCTTCCGCGGCGGAGGCGGAGCTGGAGGGTTCATATTGCCAGTGGTCCTCCACGGCGCCTGCTGAGGCAGCGTCTTGAGCAAGTTCGGCGCCTTGGGCCCCCACGGCATCAGCTGAGGCCTGGGGGCGTGCGGCTCGCGCGCCCGCGGCGCTGCCTTGCTGCCGCGTAGCTTCGCATACATCGCGCGCTTTGCGCCACCTCGGTTCCCCCAGCGCTTCGCATTCGCGCGCCACGCCTGGCCCTGCCACGTCTGCGGCCCGCCCATGGCGGGGCCAGGCGGGCCGCGGTCGCGGAACTTCTTGTAATCGTACTTCATCTGGTACTCCTTGAGCACGGCGAGCACGTTCTCCGACCGCCAGTCGATGGGATTCCCAACGGGGTCGCTCAGCCATGCTCGCAGCTGCGTCCTGAACGCCTCCACCGCGTTGGGAGGCGCCTCCACCGCCTCGGGGGGCTCCTCCACCACAGGCGTCGCGCTCCGCATGTGCGACGCGAGCTCCTGCACGAGAGCTGGGGGCGGGGTGGCGCGGAAAGGCCGCTGCCGCGGGCCCCGCGGCGGCGACGTCGGCCCCCGCCTGCGCGGCGGCGTCTTCGGTGCCCGCGGGCTGCGCGATCGCGCTGGCTGCGCCGCCAACGTGGGCGCGCTGGCTGGCTGACTGCCGCTGGCGGAGGAAGACCGATCCCCTGCGTTGTTGTCCACGCCCGCAAGGTCGGAGAGCAACTGCATCGCTGGCCCGAACATCTCCTGCGCCGAATCGCCAAAACAGTTCGACCGAGAGCGGCCAGCCAGTTTCGCGCGCGAAGCGCGCGTCCCTGGCTACCGCACGCGGGGCCACTTGTTTTGGCGATGCAGCTGCCTCCAACGCGTCGAACGCGCTGCCGCTGTCTGCCATGGCCGCGGCCGCAGTGCGAGGCGCCGAGCGTGACGCGGTGGCTGCGGCGCAGCCTCGGCGCGCGGGCCCCAGCCCACGCGTCGGCGCGAAAGGGGGGGGCCAACCCCGCGCGGGCTCGCGGGCACCCGCGGGCCGCGGGCTTGAACCGAAATGGAATCGGACGCGGAAGCGAGACTTCGGGAGGAGGGGGAGGGGGTTGCCCATGGACCCATGGAAGTCTTGGAGCTCCTCGAGCCCTCGGGGGCCTCTCAGAAGGGCCCCGCTGGTTCTTGCGACGGGGTCTCGGGGGAGGGGGCAGAGTGAGGGTGGCATTGGGAACCAGAAATATAAGTGAACGGGTGTCCCTTTGAATGTGCAGGTCTTGGTTCACTTGTTTTCGTCGTTGAACGGGCGGTGGCAACGTCGGTGCCTTCGCGCGCGCCCATGCCATTCTGGGTGAACGCCTTCGCCGTTCGAGCAGTGGGCGTCTCCCCGACGTTAGTTGGCGTGGGATCCCGTGCCTGACAGCGGAGTGGGGGGCGCAGGGACGTGGCGCGGGGGCGCGGAGTGGGCCGAGTAGGGGAGGGGGGCGGCGGCATGTCCGCCTGAAGGGCGGAGGAGCGCAAAGGGGTGGGGCGGGGGCGGCATGTCCGCCACGAGTTGGAAGGCGAGAAGGCTGCGCTACAAGGCGGCATATCCGCCACGAGGCGGCATATCCGCCACGACCTTTTTGTTATCCCGAGGCCGCCCCGTTGGCCTGGAGAGTTGAAGAGTCGTAGCGCGAATTACTCGCCGCGCGCCCTGGCGGCGAGCTCCTTCTTGACCAGCTCCTCCGCCTCCGCGATGGCCCTGGCCTCGGAGCGATCGGGCGCAACGAGGCAGCAGGGGGCGGAGGGGGCGTCGAGGCAGGGGCGAAAATGAAGAGAGCGCGGAGGAGGGCGTCGAGAAGGGCGTCGGTGAGAATCTGGCCTTGTCGGCCTCATCGCCCGCGATGTACTTCAGGCTGACGTTGCTGCCAGGGACGCCGACCCTGCCGCTGCGGAACTGCACCTGGGGGGCGGAGCAACGATGAACAGTCGCCTGAAAGGCGGCGGGCGCGCAAACTGCGACCCCAGCGGGGCTGCTGGGAATCGCCGCGCGCGCCCGACGCCTCATCGGTGGGAGGTTCAACCCCGCTCGCCAAGTTGCGCGTGGTCTGCATCTCCCACCTCGGCTTCGCCCACTTGCGCTGCTTGTCCTTCCCAGCCGCTCCGTCCGTCTTCTTGCCCGTGGGGAGCGGCG